TGACATAAATTGCACAAATGGACAGGAGAGGTATTTTTTTTCTTTTTTTTTTTTTTTTTTCCCCCTCGCAAATGAAAATTCCTTTTAGGTCTTGATGATCAGCTGCACTTTAAATGAACCTGAATTAGGAGGTCATTTTTCTTTCTGCAGAAGCAAGAGTGGGGTGATCAAAAAAAATACTGCCTGTGAAGTGGTGGGGTTTATATTGTGTCACAGTTCTAAAACTTCAGCTTTTTTTAGGCTCCTGTATCTTTTTGTGAGATTGTAAAAATGCTATTTTTTTTTTCTATTGCTACTCTACCAAAAAAAAAAAAGGGTAGTTGGAAATCCAAATCGTCATCTTCTGCCTCTTCCTGGAATCATTGGGTGATACCCCAGAGCTACAAACTTGCTTTATTGTACAGCAAAATTGAGCTCCATTTTCCTTCCTCCTGCTGAGCTGGAGGCGATGCCCCGACCTGCCGACGGGCTGGGAGCTCAGGGGAAGGGGTTGAAACTGCTCCAGGTTTATTTCATATTTTCTTTGGAAAAATAAAAATGATGTATTTTCAATGTTTGGGGAGGGAGGTGAAGAAATCTCAGCGGTGAACATCCCTGTGTAAAAAGCAGGGTATTGCCTGGACATCAGTACAAATCCTTCCTACATCCATGCTATTTTCATTACCAAATGGGGTAAGAAAGCCTGATAAGAAAATGAGCTCCCTGAGGAGGTTCTTCTTGCTGCTTTTATATATATATATTTTATTTTTTTCTATAGCTATTTGTAAGAAAAGAACCAGAAAAACAAGATAAGAGCGGAGGTTTGCAAAGCCAGCATTAAAACCATGAGCTAGTGGTCAAATAAATAAGGGATGAAATCAAGAGGGGAAAAAAAAAAGGCTATATTGGTATTAAGCAGTGAATCCTGGACCATAATAATCTCAAATTGCCAGGGTTTGGGGCTTCAGTAGATGCTGAAATTGCAGTGATCCTTATAAAAGTGAATAAAGAAAGAATTTGTCAATCCTGCTGCAAATAGACTGCTCCTGGGAGGAGTCACACCAGCATCTTGAAGATCAGATCTCAGCTGGAGGTTTCAGAGGTGGGAATTCCCAGAATAAAACTTTTACCTGCAAATTAGGCAAATTTTGGAGCCGTGACCTTAGAACTCTCTGGTGCTACATTTCTGCATTTAATTGCTCTCCGTTTTTTAGAGCGTTTAATCCCCTCTCGTGCAAAGTGGGGAGTTAATTTGCTAGCGTATTTATTCTGAACAATCAATTAGCTCTAATTAATTAGTTATAGAACCAAATTCTGGGTCCTTTTTTGTTGTTGTTGGTTTGTAAGTTTACCATTCACAGGAAAAAAAAATCCCAGTGCCAATATAACCCAAATGAAAATCTATTGCTTCTAATTTGAACTCGTCATTGAATTTGAACTCTTTTGTTAATAGGGTATAAAAATCTCTCTGGAGTAGAGTGGTTTTTTCTGATTTTAATGATGAGTCTAAATGTGATTGTGGACTTCTCTTTATAATAGTCTGCAGTTAGCAAGGTCTGTAAATTCACTAAAAACATGGGAATGATTCATTCTTGAACCTTTTCTTCTAAAATCGTAGCTTTTTGCACTAGTAACTCCCAGGTTCAGGTGAAATTTATTCTTTTATTTTATAAGCTTTTTACCTGTCCAGTGGAGTCTAATTAACACTTGAGGCCCAGGAGTTGTCTCGTTAAAATTGTGTAAAGTGAAGTGTGGATTTAGGTGCTTGTCTGGATAAATGAAGTGATTCCCTTTAGATATAAACAATCTATTGCGATACAAGGCAGCAGTCAGATCGTTAAATTGTGTACTAATAATTATACTCTGCATCCATGGAAAGATTTAATGGGGGCCATTTATCTTCCTATATTTCATAAGGAGAGAAACAAAACTCCATACAATTTCTCCATATTAATTTGGGGTTGTGTTTGTTACCATCGAGATGCTCCAGCCAACGAGTTGCTTTTGCCCTAACGCTTATTTATCCCACATGGAATTTCCAGCAAATAGATCACATGGGGTTGGAAGGGACCTCTGGAGATCATCTAGGCCAAGTCCCTGCCAAAGCAGGGCCACCCAGAACAGGTCCCACAGGACCATGTCCAGGTGGGGTTGGAATGTCTCCAGAGAAGGAGACTCCACCACCTCTCTGGGCAGCCTCTGCCAGGGCTCTGCCACCCTCACACAAAAGAAGTTCCTCCTCGTGTTGAGGTGGAACTTCTTATGGTCAAGTTTGTGCCCATTTCACCGGGCACCACTGAGAAGAGTCTGGCCCCATCCTCTTGCCACCCACCGTTTAGATATTGCTCAGCATTGATGAGGTCCCCTCTCAGTCTTCTTTTCTCCGGGCTGAAGGTCTGGAGCCCAGGTCTCCTGAGTTCTTCTCACCTGGGTGAGTACATCACCTCAAGTCCTATTTCACATATCTCCAAATAAAATGACACCAAGTAACCTTCCCCAATTACTGCTGTCACCAGGATGGATGCTCTACTGGTTTGGCTTGGTGTCCATCACGATGAGGTAATGGCCTGATGTGTGGTGCTCCTTGAAGCACCAAGGATGGTCCTCCAGCAAGCTCGGTTGGTGTGGGCCTCAGAGAGGCCCTGGTAGTTGGGATTTGCACCTGGTAGCCATATGTTATTTAACTAATGAGTCAGGGAAGTGCTTAATTACCCTACTGAGAAAATGAGACTTCTAAAGAGTGAATCCATGCTGGGGCTGCTCAGTCACACCTGACCAGTATTGTCATCTTCTGCCTCTTGCTGCCTCAGAGCCAAGGTTTCCTCTTCTTCACTGGTGAGCCTCCCGCTGAGATGGAAACCATTAGAAACCAAAGTGATTTTAATTTAATTAGCTACTCATTTGCATAAATTAGTTTACTTTGCACGTCAGCCTTCTGCGTCCGGGATCCTCCTTGGTCTTTTTAATGTCCTTTGAGGGAAGAGGACTCAACTCTCGTACTAATTAGGTGTTACAGGTGATGCCTTGGTAAACGGTGGCTGCTGTTGAAGTTGCAGAAGAACTTGGAACACGCAGCTTCGTTAGAGTTCTCGTTACGATTAACGAGTTGCCTGTTGCTTCCGTGAGCCAAAGGGCGAAAAGATGCACAAACTGAACTCGCTCGACATCGTTAGGGCTTCTCATTAACAACATCCAGGAGGCAACATCTGTCTTTTGTGCAGAAAAAGGGGGAATCTTTAAGTCCAATTACCGCAATTAACGAGTTACATCTGAGAAGCATGATTTTTACTGCTGGATTTGGAGGATTACAAGAGCCAACTTACTCTGCGCGTCACACCAGCTCCTCACCACCACAGCAAGTATTTACTTCTCCACCAGCCCAGGAAAATCAAACAAGATGAAGTCAATTGTATTAAAAAAAAATTAAATACCTTATTTGGGTCCATTAGAAACAGCCTGGATGCAATTTTCCATGGTGGATCTCTCTTATTTTATGTTCTTACTATATATTCTTCCCGTCACGGTGCTATCCCAGGACTCAATCCAGATTCCCTGGGACAGGAATGGGATAAAAGTCGAAGAAAAGGGGGCCACAGATGGGTTTTTCTTCTTTGCTGGGCGCCGCCGGTGTTTTCAAACTGGGGGAAAAAAAAAATGATTGGAGTTAATTTTAGCTTGGAGTGAATTTTCCCCCATTGCTGCCACCTTCATTTATTAGAGCTGGGCATTTCTCAGCGTGTAACAGCTGGGGGCACGCGTGGAGCATCAGTGTGTGCATATTCCTCCCCTCCTACTTTGGAAATAAGCTTTTTATTATTATTATTAAGGGATGGAAGTGGAAAAAAAAACAACTTTCCTATTTTAATAGCCTGATTTGAATGTTGGGCTCGGAGAAGATTCAATCAGTGGGGCCAACTGTATCTTCTGCTCTTGCTCTGAGATACAGGGAAGCTTGAAGGCTATTGAAGAAGACTTCCAGCTATTAAACTGGAGCTGGAAGAGTGAGAATATCTCATTGGTGATCTATTTTAGCTCCTATTGAGCTTTATCTGCAATTCTCAGCCTTAAAGGGTGTTGGGGAGTCCCTCCCTCCCCAACCCCATGTTGTAGGTCTCAACTGGAACTTACTTTTAATGACCAGGCTGTTGGCGACTGGTTTTTGGGAGAGATTTTGTTCTCTCTTCTGCTCCGTCGTGTTTTCCTTGCCTTAAATTAATTAAAAACGTAAACACAATTATTTGAAGTACTGGAAAACGGAATTAAATGAAGTACAACATTTCAGCAGAGCTGCTTAAAGAGAGGAATCTCTTTCTGTTGAAAAAATTAATATATTTTGATTTTTTTTTAACTCATTCCAAGCTGGCAGGAAAACTCCACAAAAACTTATTTTGGGGGGAGAAAAAATGAAATACAATATTTATTTCAGCTTGTTCAGTGACCCATCTGAGGGCTGCTTTCAGCTTGAGGGAGTTGGGAATTAAAATAGAGGAGAATGATGAAAATGAACTGCATTCCCCCAACTTGGCCAATGCTCTCTGCTCTTTGGTCTCGCTTTCTCCCTCAAAAACAACCAAACTGAGAGTCTCCTGCCAGGCAGGGGCCACGGAGTCCAGGTTTTCCTTATCTTCTTGGAATACCTGGTTTGGGTGTGGTTTCTTTCCCCAGGAAAATTTACGTTTCTCTGTGAAAACTTTTGGGTTTTGCCAAAGAACGTGCTCCATCAAGAAGTACCATCAACAGTAAATTGCAAACCTGCTGCGGCTACGAGTCCTCCTTGGGGAACGAAGCCCGTGAGATATAATTTAAGGGTTTTTAGAACGTGTTTAGAAGGTTTTTTAGAAGTTCTGATGCTCCTCCAGGAAGAACCAGTGTCTGGGAAGGGGACTGTGAGTTCACAACTCAAATCACACCCAATCAAAACCAGCTGTGCTCTACCTACCATCCCCAAATTTCACTATAATCTCCATTTTTCTTCCTCTAGCTTCTCAAGGTGATTTTTTTTTTTTTATTTCTCCTTCCAGGGCCCAACCTCCCCAAGGCTCAGGTGAAAACGGCATCCCTTGGCTTGGCGGGGAAAGCCAGGTCACCTCTGCTGCCCGTCTCGGTCCCCACGGCCCCGGAGGTCGCGGAAGAAGGCCACAAGCAGACGGAGGACGCCACCAACGTAAGACCCTTCTTTAAAAAAAAGGCTCCTAAAAAGTTCTGGCAACCACTAAAACTCTGCTGTTGACTTTCATGGACTTTGGGGTGTGTGATAGAGGAGAAGAAGCGAGAGCTTTGATTATTCTCCGTGAATATTATCCAAGGGACAATTCTCTCAGCCTCTCCCGAGCGCCCCGAGATACCAGGAGGAGAGAAGGAGGGGGGGAGAGGAGCGATAAGGGCAGAAAATAATTTTGGCAGGAAAAATGAGTATATAGTAATAGCAGATAATGGTGAGAAAAATAACATTGAAGCAGCAGATAAGCGAAGGGGTGGAGAAATTAGAATAATCTTTTCACTCCTATTAAGGCTCTCTTAGAGAAGGGTCTCGCCTGAGCCAGAAGATGAAACAGTGCAAAAGAAAAGGAATAAGGAAAAAGATAAATAACATTAAATACGTGTTGTATATCACCTCTTTTCATCTACCTGCATGAGAGAATTTTTCACGAGGCAAAAATAGCAGCGGTTTGTCCAACATCTTTAGAGAATCCTTTTGTGCCTTCAGCTTGGCTAAAGGGAGAGACAAAAGATTTGTCGTTAGAACAGCATAAAAATACACTTCTACGTAGAGTGGCAAGAAGGATTCTCACATTTTGTTGGGAAAGGGGGATCCAAGATGATGGAAGAGACATGGAATCTCCTACTGGAATGGGAACAGGAAGGAAAATGCCCTCCATGGTAAAATTAGTGGCATTAGGAGTAATTAAACATGGGACATAGGATAACACAAAGTGTGATTTCAGCTCTCAGTACCATATTTTATCAGAGCAGCAGGATTTAGCTCCCAGGAGAGATTTGTGGATCAAGTATGAGGGGAGATACAGGCAGCAAGCTCTTCAGGTGGTCAGAATTTGGAGAGAAAGGTTAAAATTGGGGAATATTTTTTCAAGTTTGCTCCGCAGGTGTTCTTTGAAGGTGCCTTTTCCATCCCACCTTGGGGACTGCAGGGCTTCTGCAGCACTTTCAGAACTTGTACTGGGTAAAAGGCAGGTGTGGTGCTGAGGGACATGGGTTAGTCCACATGGACATGGTAGACTTGGCCGTGTTGGGTTGATGGTTGGACTCGATGATCTGAAAGGTCCCTTTCAACCTGGACATAGAATCATAGAATTGTCTAGGTTGGAAGGGACCTTAAGGACCATCCATTTCCACCCCTGGACACCTCCCACCAGACCAGGTTGCTCCAAGCCCCCTCCAACCTGCCCTTGAACCCCTCCAGGGATGGGGCAGCCACAGCTTCTTGGGGCAACCTGGGCCAGGCTCTCACCACCCTCACACCAAACAAGTTCTTCCCCACATCTCATCTCAATCTCCCCTCTTTCAGTGTCAAACCCTTCCCCTTCATCCTATGGCTCCCCTCCCTGATCCAGAGTCCCTCCCCAGCTTTCCTGGAGCCCCTTTAGGGACTGGAAGAGGCTCTATGGTCTCCCTGGAGCCTTCTTTTCTCCAGGCTGGACACCCCCAACTCTCTCAACCTGTCCTCACAGCAGAGGAGCCCTCCTAGCATCTTTGTGGCCTCCTCTCAACCCACTAAAGGTGATGGTGGTAATTCCCAACCACCAGCAAGGGCTGAAAAGTTCAACTAATTGCTGTTTTCCAGCTCATGTGTTGAGCCTGGAGTTACCCAGCTTCTAAGCGTCGGTCCATCCTTGAAGGCCCCAGGTCCCTGAGGACCATGCAGGGAAGGTGTCCCAGTAGGGGACCCCAGGATGTCCCTGCCATGTCCTGGGCTCTGTGTAGGGGGGGGTTGGCTTCCCATCCCGCTGATCCATGCGTGTTTGTTCACTTGCAGGTTTACGAGCAGGATGATCTGAGCGAACAGATGGCCAGTTTGGAGGGGCTAATGAAGCAACTCAACGCTATCACAGGCTCAGCCTTCTAACAGCTCTTGATGAAGCGATAATTATCCCGGAGCATTGCAGCAAACCAGGATTTCACGCCTACCACCCACGTCCACCACCCCATCAAATCATCTCCTCGCCGGTACGCGCAAGGAAAACGCCTGCAAAGTTCTAAAAGGAATGATAAAATGAAGAAAAAAAAGGAAAGAATATGGATGGAAACGTGCCGGAAGTGTAGACCTGGCGTCTCAAGCGATGGAAGGGTGGCAAGGCGCGGTGACATCACCACGATGTCATAGCCAAGGCCACCAGCTTGCTCATGTTGATCTATTAGTCTTCGTAGAGCTCGAGTTGTTCCTGACTAACTCATGTTTTACTCCGTAGAGGTTGGTAGCTCTTTGTCTAGGTCTAGTCTTTACCTCATGCAAGTCTGTTTTTGAAACCTAGCCCACACCGTTAACGAGACGGCGCCGTAGGTCACTCGTTTGGGTTTTGTTTTTCTTTAAAAAATAGGCAATTCCTGACTGTGAAAAAACCCGTAGGGAATCATCACCACCACCACCAAAAATCTGGAAGTTCTCCCCAAACAGCACAAAAGGGACAAATCACTAATTTCTTTGGTTGTCTCCATGGCTCATCTCTTCGAAGTCGGGGGAATGGGGGGGACACGAGCTGGTTGCTGTTGAATTCCACCATTTTAGCAAATCCTCCCGTCGTTAATGTTTTACATGTGGCAAACAGAGAACCCAGGAATGTCAGAAAAAAAGAGAAGAACACAAAAAAAAAGGTCCACATTGGTGGCCCACTTGGAAAAGGAGGAGGTAATATGCAATTTTCTCCGACACGCCGTCATTCCGTGCTTAAACCTGGCATCAAACAGGGGTGGCCTTTGTGAGGGACCACCCTACGATGACACCGGGGCCACCGGAGAGAGAAACGGAGCTGAAGTTTCCCCCTGGGGATGGAGGACCCCTCCACCTGGGATGAGGATGGGCAGAGGATGAGGATGGGCAACAGGCTCAACAAGCCTTGGAGAGGAACCACGGAGTGAAGAACCCCTAAATTAATTAGGAGGGGCTTTTCCTTAATAATTCCTGCTTGGGATGGGCAGTATTCCATGGGAGGAGGGAGCAAGGAGCACGGAGAGAAGTAGGACACCCTGAACCATCCATCTTTAGGGATTCCCTCTCCTTGTCCTGGAGCTTCAGCTGGGCGTTACGGTGTTTATCGACAACCAAAACTGGTTGAATAGCCTAAATTTGCTAAATTTCAAGCTGCATCCAGCGTTAATCCCTGTTTATGCAGCTGAATCACCAAAAGGCAGCTCATTTGCATATTTATCAGTTAGGAGGCTGCAAAACCCAATGAGAGAGTTTCAGATGAATTATTCCATTCAGCTCTTGCCTTTGATTTCAAGCTTGAGTGGGTCATAATTTTAAAAGAGCATGGAAAGGATAGGATCTTTACAACCTAATAGCTCCTTTTATTAGGTGGGTAATTATATGTGAATCTCCGAATAAAATATTTTGAGTAAAATGGCACCGCAACAGAAGTAATAATTCAGATTATTTCCTACGGCTGGAAAGGAAATCAGATGTCAAGGAAGGATTCAAATGCTTCATTAGGAACTCCAGTGTGTTTGTGAAAATGCCCCTTTAAAAATGCCTTGTTATTCAATTTACTCAAGTCTTTTAATGAAATACTGCTCAGGAGGGGCGGGGGAAATCAGGGCTGCGTGGAAGGCTGAGCTTCCCAGTTAGCATCACAGTTCTGAGAGATTTGTAACCCAAACCCTCTACTTAAAATAAAACGCACAAATCTTTCCCCATGAAAAGCCAGCTCAGCTGTTAGACCCTATAAAATCATAAAATCACCACCTCCTTTTATTTTTTTTCCTCGAAAAATAAAGGCTCAGCGCAGCTCTGACATTGTCGAAAGAGGAACAGAAGGTCAAACCTGTCTCTGGTTTTATCGGGGATGAAATATCTCCTTCCCCTGGATTTGCAGCAGGAGAGCTGGGAACAGGAGCTGCCCCCAGGGCCAGTTAAAAAACTCAATTATTCCCTTTAAACACCGAGGTTTTGGGGTTGTTTTTTTTTTTTTAATTTTTCCTTCACCTCCCCTGAGCTACTAAATTTGGGTGTCGTTGCCCTAAGGAGCCTTGGAGACGTTCCCAACCTTCGTTTGGGGGCGATTTTAGTGTAATTCCTAATTAATTAGTAAGCAGGCATCGCTTTTCAAATTTCACTTTACGTGTGAACTGCCTGACTTGCAAAACTCAAACGAGATTATTTTTTTTTAGCATAAATCTTCCCCGTCACATTTTGCTGACGCTCTATTTATTTGCATTGAGCTTGGCCAGGAGAATTCCTTTGGATTTTGATGAATTTTTTAACTGCTGGAATATTTGTAGCCCGTGGCTACCACCAGAAAAATGGGATGAGAAACCTGGGCTTGTGAAGGTTGCTGGTACCATGGAAGATCTTTAGCTGAGGGCTGCCCTAAACAGATGGAAAAAACCACCAGAGCCAAAAAAATATATATTTTTTTCCTCCCCCCCCCCTTTTTTTCTGCTTGAAGACCTAAAAATGGAGCAATATCCACGGGTCAAAAGGCTGAGGGCTCCTTAGCTCAACATCTTGAGTCACCATCCCTGGACGTGTTTAAGGGCCGTTTAGATGGGGTACTGAGGGACATGGTGTAGGGGAGGACTTTGTAGAGTAGGGTAGATGGTTGGACTCGATGATGCCAAGGGTCTCTTCCAACCTGAATGATTCTATGATCTTTGTGGACTGCTTAGATGTTCCCATCTGGGGAGAAGGTTCAGTCACTTGGGAGAAGGTTCAATCACTTGGAGAAACTCTTTAATTCTTGAAAGAGGGTGGATGATCTGCTTGTTCTCTTTGCCTGTGATCTTGATAACCTCACAATTTAGGGCTGGAGATCTCTACTGCCAAAATTTTGCCCTAGGGTTTGTGGTGGCACTTCTCAGGGAGTGAGGACCATCGCGTGGGACATGGCTTAGTGGTGGTTTTATCAGTGTTGGGTTGACGGTTGGACTCGATGATCTGAAAGGTCCCCTTCCAACCCAAACCATTCCATGATTCCATGATATCCCCTGTACTGGTCTGGCTGTTTGTCCACCCCCTTCTTTGGGAACTGGTGATTCCCAACGAAGAGGCAGCCAGAAACTGGAGAAGCACAACCATAGTCATGTAGCTCCGAGCAGGATTGACTTCTCCAGGTTTCCCCAGCAGGTTTGGAAATGCCTCAAAGGTTTCTCCTTGCCCTCCCCACGTCACGCAGCCACCAGCAATGACCATCCCAATGTGCTCTGGCCACTTTGCACTGGTAGCAATGGGGTCCCATGTGGCTTGGGACATGGTGTGTTGGATGTTGCTGTAAGATTCTGCCTCAAAGTGGCCGTTTTTTGCATCCACACTCCTCGAGCCTCATCTTTTAGCAACTTCAGTACTTTTTTAAAGGAGCATCTTTTCACCAACCTCTGTCCTCAGCCACCTCCTTAAAAACCAGCTTAGGTGGGATGCTGTGCATTGGGCTTGAGTCCCTCCTTGACATTTCTCCAGCTGAAATTAATTTTTCAAGTGTTTCTCCAGAGCTTCTGGCCATGTTTGTGGTCCATGCTCACTCGCTCTGGCATCTTCTCCCAAAACACAGCAGCACAACCCGGAGAACTCCAGGCAAGGTGATGGCAGGGCTGGTTCCCACCTGGAAGGATGGTGCTGAGGTAACGGTTGAGGCCACCTCGGGGTCCTTCCAGCCCTTGGGAAGTATCAGGCTTCTTCTAAAGTGGGAGCGGATGGTGTAATTCCTGCTGTAGCTCATCAAGGGTCCTCCAGGACACCTTCCTACCTGCTACCTAAGGCTGAATCCACACCCAAGATGCTCCCACAGGCTACCGGCAACCCGCATGGACCACCTTCAGCCATCCCCATGGTGACACCAGGGGAGAGCTGGGATGTCACCGAGGAGCTCAGAAAATCCAAAATAGTTGGAAAAGGAAAGGCTGGTGGGAAGAGAAGGCGGCGAATCTGCAACACGTCTGAGATGGATGGAAAAAGTGGAGTTCTTCCCAAAAAATCATGGCTTCGTAGATGATCCAAGATTGTTTTTCCTGTTGGCTTCATTTCCCCACGTCCCCCTTGGCTGCTCAGTGTCCTGTCTGGTGTCGAGCTGGCTTCTCGGAGGCTCCATGACCTGGTTTTTTGGGGTTTCTTTGGTGGTTTTTTGGTTTTTTTAACGTTCTCAGCGAGAGGCATTTGAACGCATCCTCATCCTGGGGCTCGGGGTGGCTGGAGGGCCCCCCTCTACCCCCCCCGGGGACCATCCTGCTTCACTGTGTGCTCTCCGTGGAATTCCTGGGGTGAGGAATCAGCCCCGGGAGGAGAAGGGACGATGCTCTTTTTATTCTTGTAACATAGAACCTCGGCGACTCCCACGTCGGCGAATCGCCGCCTTGTTGGGGACCGGGGTGGTTTTGGGGAGGGGTTGGTGGGGGA